CTAAATGGCAATTAAGAAAAACGATGAATACAAAATGCTGGCTAAACAAATCAAACAAGCCCAAGAGCAAGGCAAAAGCGAAGAAGAAATTAAACCCTTATTAGATAGAAAAAAAGTTTTATTTGCTCTTTTGATGAGGGAACATAATCAACGGGAACGAGAGGAAGAAGAACAAAAAGAAATCCAAGCCGAAGAAGAGAGACAGAAGGAAAAAGAAAGAAAAAAGCGAATGAGAAAGAAATGTTATTCTTGCTTAACTCCTGGCCCCCAAGTAGAAATTTCCTTGGCTGCCGAAATTCCCACCGAGCCTGTGCTAGTTTGTGAAAGTTTGCAATGTGCGGTTATAGCCTCGGAAAAGTTAATCAAAAACGAGGGCAGACATTAACAATCCCCCCTCTTTTGCCCTCTCTTTTTCGCTCTATTTCACAGGCAAAATCTATATCAGCATCAATGTTTTTTTTCTCACTATTAAAACTACCTGAAAGGAATTTTTACTAGAAAAAACCTTTTCAAAAGTCAATTTCCCACCTGCTATTGCGGAGACACCCCCAGACCCCTTAAAGCCTTGATATACGAGAGATTAAAGGTGGAAAATTTCAAACTGCCAAAAGATAGCGTTACATCCCCCCTTCTGCTGGTAAAGCCTTACGTAGTTTTACGCCATAGGGAAAGTTTGAGAAAAAGGCATTTCGTTACCTTGATAATTTAGGTCCTCCCGTCCTCCTCTTAAAGTCTTAACTTTTTAATGCTTCATTTGCTTATAATTTGCTTAGTTTTTTTAATTCATATATAAACCATAGGAAAAGAAAAAGCATAAGGAGCAAAGCAATACAAAAGCCGAGAATAATGCCTCTATACGCACGTGAGAAAAGTAGAGATTAATTATTCGTCAAATCCCCACTCTCTTAATTGCTTAATGTTCTTCTCTTTCTGCTGTCCCGTCCGGTAATTATTACAGCCCTTGGGACCTTGGCATTTTCAAAGCAAAGTATTTCAATCCATAGTGTAAATACATTGGTGAAATTTGTCATTGTTTTTGTCATTGCTCTTGCTTCTGCGTCATGTTTATTTATTATTTACGGGTTTACTATTAGGGATTTACAAAAAGAGGTTTACATAAAATATATAATGTATAATAAAAAGTAAACCCGTTATGCCATACAAAGATATTAACAAAAGACGAGAAGCAATAAGAAAGAGTGTAGCCAAGTTAAGAGCCAAAAAAAAAGGGATTACATGAGATAAAAATGTAAACCCAGTAATACCCAAGGAAAGAAATAAAGAAGTAAACCCTCAAAAAGGATTTACCAGTAAACCCAAAATGGTAAACCCCAAAACCAAAGTAAAAGCTAGTTATAAAAGTTATAAATCAGACGAAAGAATTAACCAAATTTACGAACTGCTAACTAAATGAGAATTAGAAAGAAAATGCGAACAATATGCTAATCGTTTAGATATTGAAGAATGAGAAGAGGCAAGGGCTCTCAGTTACAAATTATTTGAGGAAAATATAGTGGAGATAATTAACGATGTTAATGATGTTAAGAAAATATTGAGCGAGGAATTAACCCGACTGCGAGAAGAAAACAAACAATTGTGAGAGAAAAATCAGATGCTTTTGTTAGAGCAAAAAAGACCCGAAGACAGTGAAAACTTTGCTGCAAGAATGAAACAAATTAGAACCGAACAATCAATACTAGAACAAAATGGGATAGGATGAGAAAAAGCCCAGGAAATTATTAACGATATTAGCGAAATCAAACAAACATTAAGCGAATTAGCAAGCGAAAAACAACAGACAATACAAATTATCACAAACACAAAAAAGCCAAGCAAAAAGAAAACAAACAATAATACGAACCGAAACTTTATCGCTTTGTCTCCCAATAGTCAAAAAATTTTATGACTAGGTATCGAACAATTATTAGCAAAAGGTTATAAAAAAGGAACCCGAGAATTTCGCATACATTATAAACGCTTGCGGAGAACTCTGCCCGAAGTGAAAGCCCACGCTCAAAAATACGAGCAGGGACGCCACCAAAAAAAAGGATACGAAAACAATGCCAATCGAGCACGAGACAAAAACGGACGATTTATTTAAAAAAATAACCCCTAAACGCTATTTTTGACCTTCCCAAAATGCTGCCCCGACCGGGTTATGAATGAAACATTCGCGAAGGAAAAACATAAGGCTGTTCAAGAGGAAATAGCATTTGTTCGTTGAGGAAAAGCATTAGCTGATCCATGCTTTTCTCAATAGCCTCCTGGGCGATGAGCGAAGCAAACTGTTTCCTCACAGCCCCGAATACTTTTTATACAGCCGCAGCAAAGTTGGTTAGTAGGTTTACAAGGCAAATGTTTTTTACAGCCCGAGCATGGTTTTTTATTTCGATAAACCATGATTTTTTTTGAGTTCTTATAAATACTCAATTCCCGCAGGAAACGAGGTAAACAAATTAGCATTTAAAAGTATAACCTGCTACCTGCCGCGGCTCGAGCGGGAATTCAATAAAATATTCTTGGCTAACTGATTTTTTTTACAGCCAGCACAAAGGCAACATATTTGCTCAAATTTCACTTTTCATCCTTCTTTTAAACTTCAATCTCGCACCAGTAAGCGGTGCGGGCAATTTTCATTTATTGCGAAACTTTCGCAACTCTCGCAGATGTTTTTATTCATCACCTAAATTATCAAATTGTCTAATAATTGGGCAATCCAAATAATTTTTACAGAAGCCACAATTTAGCATACTGTGATTAGCATAATTTTTAATTATTCTTTCTCTCTCTTTTTGGGTAATTTTATTTGTATTCATTTGGGTTATTTTTTTTAATTATAATGGTCGCTTTTCCTTGATTTTCACCAAGTCCAAGCGTTAACAGGGTAATTTTTATTTAGGGGAGATTTACCCAAACTCCCCCGCTTAATTTAGCGAGGGTAATCAACTAATTTTAATTCTTCGTTGGGAAATTCAAAGTAAACTTTTTTACTTTTCATTGAAACACATTTCAATTGTATTTTTTCTCCCTCGAAATTTTGAAAATAAGCATCATTCCTCATTTCCTCTTCTTTATAAGAAGTAGTGAAGAAAAAATTGCCTCAGGTTAAATTTTTAACCCAGTATCATTTTTTTTCGTGGCAACTTAAAACTTTTCTCATTTCAAATTTAGGATACTCACCATCCAACTCAACTTCTTCATCGGCTCAACTCAACTCAAACTCCACTTCACATTTTCCTGTGCTGCGGTAGTTATTTTTCTTGAAGCAAATTCAGCCTAATTTGTAAGGCTTTTTTGAATCAGCCGCTTCGTTAGTTTCGGCTTTTTTTTGTTCTTTTTTATCTTCGCAAGTTCGGCAATTTGTAATATGAACAAACTGATTTTCTTCCTTAACGAAAATATAATCGTGTTGTATTTTTGCTGTTTCTGTTGCTAGGCCAGCAGCCCCTTTTTGTAGTTCGCTTTGAACTTGATTTAATTCTTTTTGGTTCATTTTGCTAATTTGTTGTTTAAGAAAGACCTTTGAGATTTCTTTTTTTCTCTCTAGTCCCTCTTATTATATATTTTACATAGTAAAGTGTGCCACACCCCCAAAAAGGGGTCTTTCAGCCTCGGTGCTGCTTGGGTTTTTTTACCCTGTGTCCGGATAGCGTTTATTTTATACAATATTATTGTATGCTCTAAACCATTCATTATGCCACACTTAGAACCAAAATCGCATCACAAGGTTACCCTGTTTTTGCCCTATTTTTTAGGAAATTTTAGCAAAAAAAGAATAACATTTTAGGGTAGCATTTTGGGAAGGTCCAAAGCGGCTAAAAGGGCTTTAAAAAAAAAGGTTTAGTGGGGTGTTTTGGTTAAAAATACACAATGGTTAGTAAATGAGATAGTGAGGCTCAAAGAAAGAAAATCACCCGTCAAAGAAATAGGTTGATATTGGAAATCAAATCCTTTGGTGAAAATGTTTGAGATCTCGGTTTGGAAGATAGAGCGAAGCGAAGCAAACTAAAAAAAGAGTTAGAAATTTTAGAAGCCCAACATTTTACTCCTGGACGAGAGGCAACTCGGAAATATTTCACGGGAACGGGTCAGGGTTGAAAAAATGTAAGAACGGGATGGGGTGGTTGGCGGCAAGAGTTTTATTACATTCCCGAAGCAGCATCCCGACCTTCTGAAACTGCCGAACGAGTGGCTGTTTACAAATACCGCCACGGCTTAACTATGAGCGAGGAAGAAATGCGAATTATCAAAACTTTAAGAATAACCAAAACTCGTTATCAATTCAATAAATTTATTTGGGGAAAGGGCAAGAAAAATAAAAATAGTTAACTCGCTTTTATTTTCTTTCTCTTCTTATTCTTTTCTCTTTTCCAAACAAAAGCAATTATTATTCCTGTTAGAAAAATATTAATAATCGCTAATATTCATATCAAAATAAATAAAGTTATTTATTAAATTATCATGCGAGAAATTATAATTATTAAAACTGATAATAGTGAAAAATTAAAAAACCTTTTAGACCAAGGAGAATTAAATTATTCCGTGGTTTATAATGACATTCTAACCACTAGCGAGGAGGAGATTTGACGCCGTGATATTCGTTTAGCCAATAAGGACGAGTTAAGGAATAAGACAATAGCCGAGTTGGACGAAATGAGCGACGAGGACGAATGAGGGGACATTAACGCTAATGACGAAGACTGAAATTAAGAGAGGGGATATTTGATTAATCAAATACAAAAAGCGGGATAGTTTGGGAAGCGAGGTTTATAAAACCCGCCCTGCGGTTGTTTTCTCCACGGCTTTTTATAATGAGGAAAGCAAAAGAATAATCGCCTTGCCACTAACTCGCACTACGCAACCTCTATATAAGTGAGAAATCCCAGTAGTGGTAAATAAGACACCAGGAAAAATTATGGTTGACCAAATACGCAGTTTTGATAAAGAAAGCCGTCTGGTAAAGAAAATAGGAAATTTGCCTAACGAAATAATAGAGCAAGCCGAACGGATATTAATTAAGTTGGTGGAAATTAAAAAGCATTAACCAAACTAACGAAAAATTTTCCCCCAATTCTTGGTCTAACATTTTCAAACCTTTTTGTTAAACCTAAAATAATATATTATGCCTTTTAAAAATATTCGTAAGAGCCGTGGGTATTCTCGTTTATATATGCGTAAACTCCGAGCCAATAAAAAAGGAGGCAACGAGTAAAAGAAAAAGCTGCCAAAAAAGCCTAATAACAAACAATCTCTTATTTTTATAAAAAATAACCAACTTCCCCTATTGTGTATTTTTTGGCACCAAAAATAACCCTTATAAAATATTTTTACCCAACTAGCGAAATAAAAATATTTTATATAAAGGTATGCCCCGAAAAAAACGCAGTAAATACCACGACGAAAATAATCAATTCCGCAGTTATTATTGCCTCCAATGCACCCAAGTTAAGCCCTGCGGACTGCTAACAAAGGACGAAGACGAAGGCTGACAAGGAACTTGCTGCCATTGTTATTACAAAAGTAAAAACCCCGACTATCAAGCCCATTCGGACTATGCTGCAAATTTAGCCCGGGAAAAACAAGAATGATTAACCAATAACCAAAAGCTCCTCCGTGGCGAAAGTTTATTCAATTTTGACTTTCATTTATTCGTCCGCCGTCGTTGAAAAGTCAACCTTAGTGAATGACTAACAAAATACGGAGTTCATCCGGTAGATGTTTATTGTGCGGAATTTTGACTATCCGACCCTAACCATCTACCCCCTAATTGTGGTTGCCTAGAACGAAGAGCCCGTGAAAGCACCAAAACCTCGTCCTAC